TAGATAGATAGATAGATAGATAGATAGATAGATAGATAGATAGATAGATAGATAGATAGATAGATAGATGATAGATAATTAATGATGATAGACAGACACAGACAGACAGACACAGGTGACAGACTGACAGACAGACAGATTTAATATGCTATCCTGCCTTTATTATTTTTATAAATAATTCAAGGCAACAAGCAGATCCAGCACACCTTCCTCCTCCTATTTTCTCCATAACAACAGCCCTGTGAGGCGGGTTGCTTTGAGAGAGAGGGACTGGCCCAGAGTCACCCAGCTGGCTTTCGTGCCTAAGTCAAGACTAGAACTCCCCGTCCCAGTTTCTAGCCAGGCGCCTTAACCAGTGGACCAAAGTGGCTCTCACGAAGCCGCCCTTGCCTGTTGCGGGGGAGGGTCTGACGTGGTCCGGAACCACCACCCCCCGTGCCCATCGTCCTGAGAAGGGAGCCCAGCGCAGCCCCTCCCCCGAGAGGCTGCCCCTTACCCAGAGTGTTGGCGATGCCAGTTTTGACGCTGGAGGTGCCAACGTGGCTGATCCGATTCTCGTGCTCTGGTTTCACCAGGACGGCGATTTTGATGTTCCAGAGGGACTGCATGGCGATCTGGAGGGACATTGAGAGTGGGGGGGGCTTCAACTGGGGGGAAGAGGAGACCCCCGTGGCCTGTGGGTGGAGTCACCACTTCCCTCCCCAGAGGAGGAGGAGGAGGAGGGGGCGTGGGAGTCAGGGGCATCCTCAGGGCAACCTGAGAGCTGCGAGGGGAAAGAGGGGATGGAGCTGGCAGAGAGAGAGAGACAGAGGCGGAGCCTGAGCTGTCAATCAGCCCTCAGAGGGAGCGTCAACAGCCCCCAGGTCTGGAGGGGGCTGAGGAGGAAGAGGAGGAACAGCTGGGCCCAGTGCCTGATACGTGGCTGCACAGAAGGCAGAGGAGAGGAGAGCAGAGGAAATCTATGGGCCGGTCCTCGGGAAGAGCCACCGCTGCTAGCGAAGCCCCACCCTAACTCTGGGGATCAAAGGCAGGGGGCGGAGATGAATAGNCCACCTCGGAAGGATGGAAGGCTGAGTCAACCCTGAGCCGGTGAGATTTGAACCACTGAACTGCTGATCTAGCAGTCAGCTGAAGTAGCCTGCAGGATTTGAACCACCTGAATTGCTAACCTTTCTGATCGGCAAGCTCAGTGTCTTAGCCACTGAGCCACCGCGTCCAATATTACGGAATCCATTTTAATTTCCCGGAGTTCGAATTGTTCAGGGAAACATTACCAGCCGGCCACAAGAAGCCACATGGCCCTCTCTGGCATTTTGTGCAGGCAGCATTTGGTTAAAAAGAAAGAAGGTGGGGAAAAAAAGAGAAGGAGAAGAGGCCGAGGCAGTAGAAATAACAAGAAACATTTTGACTTCTGCTTCTTCATGAATCAAAGCTGCCAAACATGACAACTTTCGAGATTAAACTGTGGGGCTTCCATCACCAGGTGCCACCAAGGCCACTGCTTTCTGAATATATCCTGCCTTAGAATGAAGAGTTATCGATAGACAAAACTTGACAAGTGCTTTCGTTTTTTGGAATCAGATATAATTATGCTGTTTCAAGGCTGGAGGATCCAGATAAGTACCACTCACTTTGTGGGAACAGAATGAAGAGAAGAGGTTATCCTGTTATTATTTTTTTAAAAGCTTGCCTTTCTTCTACTTTGAAATCACAGAAAATGATTTTATACACTGTGTGGTGGCGTGGTGGTTAGAATGCAGCATCGCAGGCTAACTCTGCCCACAGCCAGGAGTTCGAGCCTGACCAGCTCAAGGTTGAGTCCGCCTTGCGTCCTTCTGAGGTCGGTAAAATGAGGACTCAGATTGTTGGGGGCAAGAGGCTGACTCTGTAAACCACTTAGAAAGGGCTGTAAAAGCACTGTGAAGCGGTATATAAGTCTAAGTTCTATTGCTCTTCCTTCCTCCTTCCTTCCTTCCTTCCTTCCTTCCTTCCTTCCTTCCTTCTTTCTTTCTTTCTTTCTTTCCCTCCCTTCTTTCCTCCCTCCCTCAGCCTTCCGTCCTTCCAAGGTGGGTAAAATGAGGACCCAGATTGTTGGGGCAACATTCTGACTCTGTAAACCACTTAGAGAGGGCTGTAAAAGCACTATGAAGCGATATATAAGTCTAAGTTCTATAGCTTTTCTTTTTCTCCTTCTTTCCTTCTTTCTTTCTTTCCTCCTTCCTTTCTTATTTCCTTCATTCCTTCCTTCACAGTAATTAGACTGCAGTATTGCAGGCTAACTCTACCCACTGCAAAGGGTTCGATACTGACTGGTACAAGGTTGACAGCCTTCCATCCTACTAAGGTGAGTAAAATGAGGACCCTGATTGTTGGGGACAAGAGGATGACTCTGTAAACCACTTAGAGAGGGCTGTATATAAGTCTAAGTGCTATTGCTATTGCTACAGAAACCACTTTTACTGAGAGATAAAATAAAAAAAATGGTTTATATATATTAACCTCTGAATTTAATTTCTTTTTCAAGGGTTTTGGGTATGGTACAAAAATATACTTCCATTCACAAGGAATAGCTTGAACTCCTGGCTGAGGGCAGAGTTAGCTTGCAATAATGACTTCTAATCACTGGGAAGGTTGACTCAGCCTCCCATCCTTCTGAGGTCAATAAAATTATCCAGATTGTTGGTGGCAATATTTCTAGAGAGTGTTGTAAGGCACTATGAAGTGGTATGTAAGACTAAGTGCTATTGCTATATATGTCTAAAGGGGCAGCAGAATCTTTCTGAAAATCTGTCCAGGGCAGTGGTAAAATTCAAAATGTTTGACTACCGCTTCTGTGGGCATGGCTTGGTGGACGTGGCAGGGGAAGGATACTGCAAAATCTCCATTCCCTCCCCACTCCAGGGGAAGGATACTATAAAATCTCCATTCCCTCCCCACTCCAGGGGAAGGATACTATAAAATCTCCATTCCCT